GGCACACATGTCTAACACTTTTCAGGTCAGGATGTCATCCTTTACCATATATCCCCTAATCTGCTTGCTGCCCAATTTCCTGGGTTGGAGTAGGAGTAAAACAAACCTAATGTGGTTTACACTGACTCTGAAATGCAACCACTGGGGTCCCAGCATGAAGTTTCAGTGTTTCCTCAATTAGATTCCTCACCGAGCACTATCTCAACCTTTATTTCTGCCCTTGGTTGCCTCGAGCCTCCTAAGAGTAAGCCCTTGGCCTATCTCCACCTCCACAAAACTACCTTTAGTGCTCTGCTGACCTTCTGTGCTCTCCACCATCATGGGCTCCCCCCTTCATTTTATCCAGCAGTTTTAGTTGTTCGCAGTGGAGGCATTGGTACAAAGTACACATGATGCCATTACCAGAAGGAGTAAGGTCTGTCATTTCCCTCACCTTCAAGGTGTCCTACATATTGCACAGGTAAGTAATTATAAAGTGTAGTGACAGAGGAAAATCAGGCCCTGAAATAACAATAATTGTGTTGATGGAAGTGACCTGGCTGATGTAATAGCAAGAGTGGTGGCGATTTATCTTTACCAGGAAATACTTTAAAAAAAACTCTTTCTAGTAAAAGTCTCCTCTGGCATCTCCAACATCACAGTTCATATATTGCCTGGACAATCGTACATCATGTTGGCACCTGTATTTGGGTTCTCTAGAGGGACAAAAATAGTGAAATATATATACTAGAGAGAGCAGGAGTGGGAGAGGAGCTTATTAAGTATTAACTCACACAATCACAAGGTCCTACAATAGGCCATCTGCAGGCTGAGGAGCAAGGAGAGCCAGTCCGAGTTCCATTTGGAAAATCAAGTTGACACTCAATATGGTTAACCACAACACCAAATCATATTTGGCATTTCAAAGGCAGCAGCCAGTGAGATCAAAAACATGTCTCTCCCCTCATTTAGTAGCCCGACATACAGCACATCTAAGTGAAGTGGAATGGCTTAGAAATAGACAGACTTAACTGGTGTGGCCTGACAGGTTCTGCTTCAGGTTTACATAATTTGCACGTCAGCCTTATTTGTCAAGTCTGTCATGAAGACCAGTTCAAAGAGACAGAAAGAGACTGAGATCAAGATAGTCAACTAGACACAGGTAGTATGTCGCTCCTTTAGGAGAAGAGCCAGAATAGTAAGCAGACACCCACATTTCAAACAGATTGACAAGAAACAAATGATTGGACTCAGCAGAGACTGTATGGATGTGCCAGAATTAAGGAGAGGGTTCGGGGCAGCTTGTCCAGCTAGGAACTTGCTGAGAGCCAAGGGCAGCTCCTGGATGCAGGAATGCAGTAAGATAGAAATTCCAGAGCTCTGAAGTGGCCCTTAATGATTTTGACTATGGAAGAAACCCTTGATGACTAGAGCCACATGTCCAACATATGGAGCCGTTTACAGTTTTCACAGATATGTTGGTCCACAAAGGGAACCAACAAAGAATCCTATGGTCACCCAAGCATGGAGCAGCCACAGCTGGGAGGCATTTCAAGAGCCCAAATACCAGGAATCTACAGATAACAGCTGCACCTGGTGCTCTCCTGGAGGGAGGAAAAGAGGATGAGCACCCATGCACCCCTGGATAAGTCCTTACTACAGTGCAGTGCGCTGCTGTTGAGACTGAGATGGGAGCTGATTGCATTCCCTGTAGTTTCTTGCACAGGCTGCTTGCCTGGGTGAGGCCCCATCCTTTTTAGCCCCAGCCTAAGGTGCCATTTTTAGAGTTTAATTCTAGGCTGAGCTCCACACTTGGCCTTAGTTTGGGCTGAATATGGCTGTAGCCACTGCCCAGCCAAGAGCCCACAAAGAAACCAGGCCATCCCATGTATGCTTAGGAAATACCCTATTCCCAGCAGCAGGCTACTGTGAGAATAAGACTCAACCAAAGTCCACGCTTTCTAGCTTCTTGCCCACACCACTTGCCGAAGAAGTGCTCCACCCTCCTGGGTTGCAGGCCTAAGGTACCATTTTGAAAGTTTAATGCTGAGCTCTATGTCATATTCTGCCTGAATCTGGGCTGAAATGGCGACAGCTGCTGCCAAGACAAGGAGAGGCAGGGAAGCCAGGCTCTTCCATACCTACCTAGGACAACACTCGGTGCCCTGCTAGGCTGCTTCTTGCCCACATTGCTTGCCTGAGTGGGATTCCACCCTCTCCAGTTGCAAGCCCATAGCTGGCACCATTTTGAGAGTTTAGAAACACTGTTGGGTAACCTGGTGACCACAGCTGGCATTGTAGTCTTAGGCCAAAGATTAGAGTGCTTACTCTTGGACAGGGAAAGGGCCCCAGCCAGAACTGAGTGTCAAGTGTGGAAAGTGACCCAGGAGTAGGGAGTGGGATTGGAATCTCTCCCATCCCAGCACATGTGTGGAAATGAGACACTGATCAACACCTGTAGAGGCCTGTCTTGCAGATCTTGACTCAATGATGGATGAATAAATGCACTATTCACCTCTTTCAGTGATTCAAGTGGTAAGGGATGGGAGTTGGCTGCTTTCAGAGGGCAACTGCAGTCAATGGACCAACACCCCCGTCCCATTCTTACATTTATTTAGTAATGATTTCATAACAAAAGTTCTAAGTCAACTTGCTTGTGGATAATTAACATGGTTAAAAGAATAGTTTTACACATGATAAAAAGCTTTAGGGCCGGGCACGGTGGCTCAAGCCTGTAATCCCAGCACTTTGGGTGGCCGAGACGGGTGGATCATGAGGTCCAGAGTTCAAGACTAGATTGGCCAACATGGTGAAATCCCATCTCTACTAAAATATACGAAAATTAGCTGAGCATGGTGCCTCGTGCCTGTAATGCCAGCTACTTGGGAGGCTAAGGTAGGAGAATTGCTTGAACCGGGACCGGGAGGTAGAGGTTGCAGTGAGCTGAGATGGCACCACTGCACTCCAGCCTGGGCTACAGAGTGAGACTCCATATCAAAAAAAAAAAAAAAAAAAAAGGTTTAGTTTCCAGGGCACACAGAAACACTGTTAACAGATAATTCCCCTTTGATCTCCCCTGAGAGGACCGTGCAGCACAAAGTTTACATGAGTAAACAGAGTAGAGACACAGGGATGTGTGGGGTAAACAGACTTAAGTAGGAAAGCCTCTTATCAACCCTATCTTTTCCCTAACATAATGGACTGGCTGCCCTCAGCCTGCCCCAATAAAATGTTTTGGCCTTCCAGAACATTTAAGACTATAATCTATGAATTTCTGTGATATTTTCCAAATATTTTGCCAGCCACTCTGAGCGAATTCCAACATGGGAGGAGAGTTCCTGATGCTGAGGTGTCTCCCAGGCAGTAAGACACCCAGCCAGGGACAGCTACCCAAGCCTGCTCCTTTGGTCAATTACGAGACAGTATCACATCAGCTATGAGGAGTGGGGAGGGAGGCAGACCCTGCTATCCTGGAAACACAACTCCTACACAGACTACCCCTAAGGGAGGCAGGAGTACAACCTGCCAAAGCTCACCTGAAGTCACAGGAAGTGCAAGCACAGCATGAGTAAAGGAATACAGCACCCCCAAAGCCCCACTGTAACTGTGGAGTAGTGGTCACCTCTCACCTCCACAGGTCTCCTCCCTAGTGCACTGTCACAGATTCAGCAGCAGCTCCTCTCATCAAGGCCCAGGGAACATGGGCTCAAAGAGTGCACTCTGGGGCTTCTCCAGTGGCTCCACCCCCAAAGAAGGCAAATGCTTGCTGGGGGAGGGCACTTTTTATGCTTCTTCATTGCCTCCACACCCAACCCTGCCTGTTGGCTCTTACTGTGAAGCACTGTCTACGGGACTGCAGCCTGGATTATACAACCAAACAAATTACATTGCTACAACAGGTAATGTCTGAGAACATCACTGCACATGTCTAACTGTAACCATGGAATCCACACAGAACCTAAGCACCCTGCAAGCACTGAGAAACAAAGCTAATCAATCATATCCAATATATACCTCAGTCATACTCCCAAGAAAAAAAAAACAAAAAAATCAAGAAGCCCAATCCAAACAATAATACATTTTTTAAAACCTGTTGACTCTTTCAGATGAGAAGAAGCCTGTGCAGAAAACTCAGACACTACAATAAGCCAGAGTGCTTTGTCACCTCTGGGGGATTCCACTAGATCTCAATCAAGAGAGTCCAACAAGAATGAAATGCCAGATACAGAATTCAGAATATTAATGGCAAAGTAACTCAATGAGATCAAGAGAAAGTTGAAATTTAAAACAAAGAAGCCAGAAAAATGATCCAGAAGCCTGAAAAAAAATTGAAAAATGATATAGCTATATCACAAACTGAACAGAAACTCTGGAATTAAAAAATTTATTTCTGGAATTTCAAAATACAGCTGGAATACTAAACAGCAGAATAGACGAAGTGCAATGAAGGCAGGAAAAATGGAAATAATTCTAAAGCATGAACAAAACCTTTAAGAAATATGGGATTATGTAAAGTTGATCAGATCAATGACTTGCTGGCATTCTTGAGAGAGAAGACAAATAAAGAAATTGGAAAATATATTTGAGGAAGTAATTCAGGAAAATGTTTCAAATCTTGCTAGAGAGGACAATATGCAGGTACAAGAAATCCAAGAAAACTTCAGTGAGATACTTTACAAGATGACATCTCAAAGGCACAAAATAATTAGATTATCTGTGGTCAATGAAAAGAAAAAATTCTAAAGGCAGTTATAGAAAGGATAATATTACCTATACAAGGAAAATTATCACATTAATAGAATTCTCAGAAAAACTGACATGCCCGAAGTTAATGATAACCCATTTTAACATCCCTGAAGCAAAGTTGTGCCAGCCAAGAATTTGATACCCCATCAAATTAAGCTTTAGAAATAAAAGAGAAACAAAGTTTTTTCCGAGAGAAGCAATTGCTAAGGGAATTTATCAGCATCATGCTGGCTCTGTAAGAGATGTTTAAGGGATTTCTTTTTTGTTTGTTTTTACATTGTTGCAGAATGTTTTCCAATTGCCAACTACGGCACAAGCTGGGAATGGAACAAATGCCTCTGCTAGGCTTGCTTTCCCTCCCTTTCTGAAGGTGGAAGAATACTAGGCACTCTCCAGACACAATCCCAGGATCTGCTAGGCTTGCTTTCCCTCCCTTTCTGAAGGTGGAAGAATACTAGGCACTCTGCAGACACAATCCCAGGATCTGCTAGGCTTGCTTTCCCTCCCTTTCTGAAGGTGGAAGAATACTAGGCACTCTCCAGACACAATCCCAGGATCTGCTAGGCTTGCTTTCCCTCCCTTTCTGAAGGTGGAAGAATACTAGGCACTCTCCAGACACAATCCCAGGATCTGCTAGGCTTGCTTTCCCTCCCTTTCTGAAGGTGGAAGAATACTAGGCACTCTCCAGACACAATCCCAGGATCTGCTAGGCTTGCTTTCCCTCCCTTTCTGAAGGTGGAAGAATACTAGGCACTCTCCAGACACAATCCCAGGATCTGCTAGGCTTGCTTTCCCTCCCTTTCTGAAGGTGGAAGAATACTAGGCACTCTCCAGACACAATCCCAGGATCTGCTAGGCTTGCTTTCCCTCCCTTTCTGAAGGTGGAAGAATACTAGGCACTCTCCAGACACAATCCCAGGATCTGCTAGGCTTGCTTTCCCTCCCTTTCTGAAGGTGGAAGAATACTAGGCACTCTCCTGACACAATCCCAGGATCTGCTAGGCTTGCTTTCCCTCCCTTTCTGAAGGTGGAAGAATACTAGGCACTCTCCAGACACAATCCCAGGATCTGCTAGGCTTGCTTTCCCTTCCTTTCTGAAGGTGGAAGAATACTAGGCACTCTCCAGACACAATCCCAGGATCTGCTAGGCTTGCTTTCCCTCCCTTTCTGAAGGTGGAAGAATACTAGGCACTCTCCAGACACAATCCCAGGATCTGCTAGGCTTGCTTTCCCTCCCTTTCTGAAGGTGGAAGAATACTAGGCACTCTCCAGACACAATCCCAGGATCTGCTAGGCTTGCTTTCCCTCCCTTTCTGAAGGTGGAAGAATACTAGGCACTCTCCAGACACAATCCCAGGATCTGCTAGGCTTGCTTTCCCTCCCTTTCTGAAGGTGGAAGAATACTAGGCACTCTCCAGACACAGTCCCAGGAGATTACAAGTTCTGAATATGGAAATGAAAGAACAAAACTTGCTGTCATAAGCATATGCAAGCACATCACCCAGAGGCCCCGTAAAGCAACCACATCATCAAGACTACAAAACACACAGCTAACAACACCAGGACAGAAGCAAAACCTCACGTGTTAATATTGATATTGAATATAAATGGCCTAAACACTCCATTGGACAGGCGCAGTGGCAAATCGGATTTAGAAAACAAGACCTATTCTTCTGCTACCTTCAAGAGACCCATCTCACAGGTAATGATACCCAAAGGCTCAAAGTAGAGAGGTGGAAACGGAAAGCCATTTATTTCTGTTTTCCCTAGCAGACAAAGGGAAAACATAAAAGAGCAGGGGTCACTATTCTTGTATCAGATAAAATATAATTTAAAGCAACAACAGTTAAAAAAAGGTCAAGAAGGGCATTACATGATGATACAGGGTTTCATTCAAGAGGAAGTCCTAACTCCCCTAAATATTTCAACACCTAACATCAAAGCACCCAGATTCAAAAAACAATTACCTCTAGACAAAAGACTTTGACAGGAATGCAATAATTGTGGGGACTTTAACACCCCAGTAATGGCATTAGACAGATTATCAAGGCAGAATACTAACAAATTCTGGACTTAAATTTGAGACTTGACCATTTGGACAAGACATTAGACATATATAGAATAATCCATCCAACAACCACAGAATATACCTTCTTCTCATCTGTACATGGAATATTGTTTAAAATTGATTACATGATCAGTCATAAGGCAAGTCTCAATAAATTAAAAAAATCGAATTTATACCAAGCATATTCTCAGACTATGCTGGAATAGTAATGGAAATTACTACCAAGAGGAACTTTCAAAACTACGAATACATGGAAACTAAACAACTTACTCCCAAGTGACTTTTGGGTAAATAATAAAATTAAAGCAGAAATAGAAAAATTTATTTGAAACAAATGCAAATACAGACATAACTTGCAAAAACTTCTGATATGCAGCAAAAGCAGTCGTAAGAGGAAAGTTGTAGCTCTAGATTACGTCAAGAAGAGAGAAAGATCTCAAATTAACAACTCAACCTCACACCTAAAGCAACTAGAAAAACAAAAATAAACAAAACCCAAAGCTATAAGAAGAAAAGAAGTAACTAAAATCAGAGCAGAACTAAATGAAATTGAGAGCCAAAAAACATACAGAGGATCAATAAAATGGAAACTGTTTCTTTTTGAAAGGATGGATAAGATTTATAGACTGCTAATTAGATTATCACAGAATAAAAGAGAAGAACCAAATAAGCAGAATCAGCTATGACAGAGGTGACATCACAATTGATTTCACAGAAATAAAAAATATCTTCAGAGACCTACTAGGTGCCTCTATGTGCACAAACTAGAAAATCTAAAAAAAAAAAAAAAAAAAATAGGATCAATTCTTAGAAGCACGACCTCCCAACATTAAAGTAGGAAGAAACAGGTTTCTCAAACAGGCTAATAATGATAATGAAATTGAATCAGTAATAAAAATCTACCAACGCTGAGGATTAGATAGATTCGCAGCCAAATTCTACCAGATGTACAAAGAAGAGTTGGTACCTGTCCTACTAATACTATTCAAAAAAATTGAGAAGGAAGAACTTTTCTCTAACTCATTCAACAAAACCAGTATCAGATGATACCAAGATCTGGCAAAGACACAACAAAAAGAAAACTACAAACCAATATTTCAGATTAACACAGAAGGAGAAATCCTAAGAAAATACTAGCAAACTGAATCCAACAGCACATCAGAAATTTAATTCACCACAATCAAGTGGACTTTATTCTTGGAATGCAAGAATATATTTCAATATATGCAAATTAATAAATTTGATTCACCACATAAATAGGATTAAATACAAAAATCATATGAACATTCCGTTAGACATGGAATAAGTATGAAACAAAATCCAATATCCTTTCATGATGAGAGCCACGACAAACCAGGCATTGAAGGAACATTCCTAAAAATAATGAGGCATTTAGGCAAATCCACAGCCAACATCGGGCTTAATGGAGGAGAGCTGGAAGCATTCCTCTTAAGAACTGGAGCAAGACAAGGATGTCTGTATCACCACTCCTATTCAACATATTACTGGAAGTCCCAGCCGGAGCAATCAGAAAAAAGAATAAATAGAAAGCATCAAAATAAAAAAGAGAAAGTCAAATTATATCTCTTTACTGATGATATGATTCTACGCATAGGAAACCCTGAAAGTTCTACCAAAAGACTCCTAAATCTAATAACGGGCTTCGGCAAGGTCTCAGAATACAAAATAAACTCACAAAAACAAGCAGTATTTCTATCCACTTGGTATTAGTGTATACCACTTATAATTAGCTTATTGTAAGCTTGAAAGTTATATTCAAGCTGAGAACCTGATTAAGAATGAAATCCCATTTACAATAGCCTAAAAAAATATACCTTGGACTACATCTAACCTAGGAGATACAACATTTCTATGAGAACTAAAAAACAAACATAGCTGAGAAGTCACAAATGACACAAACAAGTGAAAAATCATTTCATGAAAATGATTAGAAGAATTAATATCAGTAAATGTTTATGCTGCTGAAAGCAATCTACAAAATCAACACTGTTCCTATCAAACTGATAGTTAGTTTTTATTGAATTTAAAAAAATGAAAAAAAAAACACTAACATTTATTAATCCAAAACCCAGCCTGGGTAGCTCAGGCAATCTAATGCTAAAAGTGTAAAGACAGAGGCATCAAATTACTTGACATTAAACTATACTACATCACTATAGTAATCAAAGCATCGTGGTAGTGGTTCGAAAGCAGACAGACTAACAGAACAGAATAGAGGCCCCTGAAACAAAGCAACACACCTACAACGAAACCGTCTTTGGAAAAGTCAACAAAAATAAATAACGTGGAAAGGACACTCTGTTCATTGAATTGTGCCAAGAAACTGGTTGACTGTACACAGAAGAAGGAAACCCGCCCCCCTACCTCTCACCATTAGGCAAAAAATAACTCAAGATGGATTAAAGACTTAAATGTAAGACTTCAAACTATAAAATTTCTAGGCCAGGCGTGGTGGCTCAAGCCTGTAATCCCAGCACTTTGGGAGGCTGAGGTGGGTGGATCACGAGGTCAAGAGATCGAGACCATCCTGGTCAACTTGGTGAAACCCCGTCTCTACTAAAAATACAAAAAATTAGCTGGGCGTGGTGGCGCGTGCCTGTAATCCCAGCTACTCGGGAGGTTGAGGCAGGAGAATTGCCTGAACCCAGGAGGCAGAGGTTGCAGTGAGCCGAGATGGCGCCATTGCACTCCAGCCTGGGCAACAAGAGTGAAACACTGTCAAAAAAAAAAAAAAAAAAAAATTTTTTTTTCTAGCAAAACCTAGAGAATGCTTTTCTAGACATTGGCCTAAGCAAAACAATTGTGATGAAGATCCCAAAAGCAAATGCGGTAAGATAAAAAACGGACAAATGTGACTTAATTAAGCTAAAGAGCCTCTGCACAGCAAAATAAACTCCTAACAGAGTAAACATGCAAACTAAATAATGGGAGAAAATATATTTGAAAACTATGCATGTAACAAACATATTATCCAGAATCTATAAAGAACTTAAACAAATTAACAAGAAAAAAATAACCTGATTAAAAAGTGTTCAGTTTGATATAGCTATATCTTTTTCAATTTTTTCAGGCTTCTGGATCATTTTTCTGGCTTCTTTGTTTTAAATTTCAACTTTCTCTTGATCTCATTGAGTTACTTTGCCATTAATATTCTGAATTCTGTATCTGCCATTTCATTCTTGTTAGACTCTGTTGATTGAGATCTAGTGGAATCCTTCAGAGGTGACAAAGCACTCTGGCTTATTGTAGTGTCTGAGTTTTCTGCATGTGGTGAACAAACTTGTAGAAAATGCTCAACATCACTAATCACTGAGAGATGCAAGTC